ATATTCTACCATGTCAACATATAGGTGTGATTTTATACATATTGGCTTTTAGCAAAATTTTTGTTCAAATAATACAAAGCTCAGCCAAGAACACATTTCACACACACACACACACATATGACAATGGGAACAACAGTGTCACAGTGACACTGTTACACAAAGCAACTGATGACAGTAAACGTGTTCTTTTGTGAAGTCATGGAGGTGATTGCACCGGGTCTATTTGAATCTAATTTGAGAATATCCTTAGCCGGGATGGCACTCATTGGCGGTGTGTGCAGTCTTGTGTTTATCAGATGTTATGGATAAATTCTTGTCTGAATAAAGAGTTGATGATGTGGAAAGGATGAGTGTGATTGCACTCAGAGATGAACAGGGCACCTCTGACTCTCTTTAATGTTTTTGCTGCACGTGCTACTTTATATACAAAAGTGAAAATCGTCATTGTTTCATATTTAATGATAGTTTTGTTCATGTTTTAAAGTTAAAATGTTTTAAAGGGAAATTATATGGTGATGTAGCAATAAGTTTAGCAATCTAACCTCTAGGGATTTCAGTACTGGTCTTCAAGGGACACTATCCTATGTTTTAGGCTACATTCACATTGTGGGCATAAGCAATATAAATCCGATATATTTTTTTGGCCCTGATGTGACTTATGTCCAATTTTTTTTTTCATTTCTGATCCAGGCTTTTTCCGTATGTGGTACTAAACTGAATATACTGTATATCTGATGTTTTTCAATGCAACTGCAGTCTGGACACTTGTGTTGCATTTCATCCGACTTCTACTTCAGTGAGGTGGGGTGAGCKGATCTATCCAAGTATTTAGAATATCGATACCAACCTTGTGCAGTTTAAAATTTGTAACTCCACGTCTTCAGCTACAGAACATAAGTCCACTTGTTTTGTCTTTTTTCTTTTAATTTTCCATGTCCTGGATGACTGAGAATCCACAGAAACATATGACATCATAGGTCTGTCATGGACCGTATCGATAATAATGTTATTGGATCAATATTTTACTTTTGTTGCAAAAATAAAATTCTGCTCTACAGCAGCCAACCAGAGGCAGATTCAAATATACGCCAATTAAAAAATACTTCTATGACCATAAGAGCAAAAATCCCTACAGTTACCTTTAACGTTGTGGCCAACTAAGTAAATAGTAAATGGCCTAAACTTATATAGTGCTTTATGAAACACAAGGACTCCAAAGAGCTTCACACTACAGTCATAATCACACACTGATGGACAGAGGTGAGGCTGCAGGTCCACAAGTCCTGTAAAAGTGATCCACTCACCACCACCCTTCAGTTGCATCAAAAATTGAATTTATTGTGATGGTAACTAGCTTTTAGGTGCATATAAACACTTTTGATGTCTATGTTACTCTTGTTTGTTAGTCAATCAGGTCACCGCATGTTATCCTGCTGTTTTTGCAGCAACCGCCAGACAAAAAAGGCCTTTTTGCTTTAGTGGACAGAGACATGACAAACAAGAGTAGGCCCAAATGAGCAACTACTCTTTTCAAGCAAACACCCCCACCCTCTCCATTGCTGTTTTCAATATTTCAAGTGAATTGACATAATATCAAACCCAAAGTGGCTTATCATA